CATTCTCTCACGTTATTAAAAAACTCTTTATGACTATAGTTCTTTGTTATTTTTGAGGTATAACTCACGTGCAGCAAAGGGCACTACTGCTGGGTGTACAGCGTGGGGAGGTATGACATGCATGCACCCGTGTAACCACCACCCCGGTCCAGATGATCACCCCAGAAGGTGCCCCCCAGAGTCGAGGGCCACTCTGACTTCTGTCATCCTGGACTAGATGTGCCCGTTCTTTAACTTCATATAAATGGAATCACAGATGCTGTCCTGTTTCATGTCTGGCTTCTTTTGTCCAGCAGAATGCCATGGCTATATGCTACAGAGCTCTGTTATTAGGCAGTTGGGCTCTCTCCAGTGTGGGCAGTGTGTTTTGAGTGTTGCTGTCGGTGCTCTCATATCCCCACCAAGGAGGAAGCTCCCAGTGTCCCCAAAGCCATCTTGACCAGGAAAGCCAGAGAATGCCCACACTCCTCACAAAAATAGGAAGAATCAACCCCCCCTGTGTCACATTTTGTCACCTGTGGGGGTCAGCAAAGATGCTTGGGTCCTATGACTCCCAGCAGTCCTTCACCCTCTGTCTCAGACACTGGCACGGTGAGCGGGGCTGAAGTCACCATGCTGTCCTCTCCATGCCTGCTGTCTCTGTCCTCATCCTCCCCAGTATAACCCCTTTTCCCAGCCCATGAGCATGTCCCCCACGCCCTGTGTAGATCCTCAAACCAAGTAGACACTTGCAGGCTGTCTACCTCATCACTTGTCTGGATACGTCCAGACATGGTGGAAACCCCTTAACTCAGTGGGAAGTCTCCTCTATGCATTTTGGGTATTGCTTTCAGATCAGCGCTCAGACCTGGGGCTAATGCATCTTAGGTGCAGTAACAGAAGTCAAATGTGCCTATCAAGGTATATAACGGTCCCACTGTGATCTTCACCGGGTCAGATCACACCTGCAGCTCTAGATTCGGCTCTGTGATAACAGGATACTGTGTGGGACTTTTCTTGTTGCACCAACCTGGCAACTGGCCTGAGGCTGAAGGCAAAGAGGTGTTAAGTACCCTACCGTTCTAAAGAAAACCACTGACACCTCAGCTCACGCACCTCCCCCAGGGCTGACAAAGAGTGACAGAAACAGCGCTGTGCCCCCATCACTGTGTCAACTCCTCCCACCCCTGTCTGGTATCAGGAGATGAGCTTGGGTGGGAAAGGGTTGTGGAAGTGGGTGGGATTGATGAGAGGAGGGAGAGGTCCTCTCCTCAAAGCCAAGGGAGGGGGCTCTGAGACAATCATGTGAGGAATGGGGGCTTGCAGGAGGGGAGCCCAGCACCTCATTCCTGGGTGGGGCATCCACTAGGCAGCAGACCAGTTGGACAGAGAAAGAGGGGATTAGAGAGAGGCAGTGGTGGAGACAGGGTGTGGCAGTGAGGCAGCAAGGATGTCCCAAGGATGTGAGAGCACCCCTGGGCCAAGTTACAAACATGGTGCCAAAGTGGCGAGTCTGAAGAAATTCCAACCTCAGTCACACACCACACCCAGGGCCAGGCCTCCGCTCAATTCTGGGCTGCCTCGCAGCCGTCAGCTCACCAGCCTGGATGCCCCTTCTCTCATGGTGAGTTTCCTCTTAGGGCCCTCAGTGGCCTTTGCTGCTAATCTCACCTGAGGCCATTTCAATTTGTCAGGGAAATTTTAATAATGAGAAAAAGCAGAAGTGGAAAGATGGGGTCTTGATGGCTTACTCCCAGGAGGCAGCAGGGCCTCGCTGAAAAATGCTCAGCACCCCCAGCAGCTTTGAGCACCACAGATGGAGGAGGACGGCACTGGTGGACCATGTCAAGCCCCCAACTCCACTGAAAGTCTTAAGAGACACATCCCTTGGAATGATGACCTTCCCTGACACCTGCTTCACGCAAACAACCCACTCAAGTATTCTCCCCGGAGTAAAGAAGACTTGAGGTTTCCACTTCTAGAAATGGAGATGGTTAGCAACTTTTAAGCGACAGTTTCTTTGTTGGCAATAAAATCCTACTGTAGCTGTTATTATCATTGAGTTAGTCACTCTCTCCTCTGGGCTTTCAAAAAATTTCACATATACCTCTATTTCTGTGCTCTGCACAGTGCATTATGATTTATGAATACACCATTCTCTACCCCTCCTCCCCATCAGCAGTCCCCGGACATGGAGGTCTAAGGGCATGGGCATTAACATATCCTCTTTAAGTACCTGACCCAGTCTGGCACATGGTAGATCCTCAGTGTGTTTGTCACATTGAATTCCACGATGGAAAAACAAATGGACGCTTTTCTAAATTTTATTTATGAAGTTATTATACACCATATGTATTAATTAGCATTTGTGCTTAGCAAACATTCACCACCACCCCAACTCAGTGACTTAAAACAGTAAATATGGACCTCTTGCTCCTGAGCCATGTGGCTGCCTTGTGGCTGGGGCCTGGCTCTGTTCTGTGTCTTCTCGAGAGCTCACAGGGCCTGGCTGAAGGAGTTGTGGTCTGGGCTGGGCCCTCCTGTGGCTGAGCAGCGAGAGCCAGGGGCTCAGCCCAACCACTCTCAATGCTCTGCTCCAATGAGGCAGATGTCACTTCTGCTCATTTTCCATAGGCTGAGCCACCTGTGGATGGGGTGGGTGTGTCACTTGCAGGGCACGCTGCAAGTCACAGGGCGAGGACAGGCATGTGTAATCACACAGAAAGGAGCGAAAAGTCGCGAACAATAAGACAATCTATCACACCACAGTACAACAAAGTGGGCAGGTTTTCTTTCATTGTGGCAAGGACATTTAACATGAGCTCTACCCTCGTAACAAGTTTTTAAGTGTACAATACAGTATTGTTATCTATAGGCATGATGTTGTAAAGCAGATATTTAGAATTTATTTATCTTGTATAACTGAAATTTTATGCACATTCATAAATGGATAAAGAAAATGTGGTGTACATATACAATGGGACATTATTCAACCTTAAAAGAGAAGGAAATTCTGCAATATGCAACAACATGGATGAAGCTGGAGGACATCATGCTAAGTGAAATAAACCAGTCACCAAAGGACAAATATTGCATGATTCCACTTACACGAGGTACCTAAAATAGTCAAACTCATAGATGTAAAGAATAGAATGGTGGTTGCCAGAGGCTGGGGGGAAGAGGAAATGGGGAGTGCTAATCAGACAGTTTTTTTTTTAAACAATCTAGTTAGAGCATTGATTCACTTTCCAAGTTATAGCTATTTTAAAAAACAATATTTACATTTCATTATCATCAAAACAAAATTTAATGCATTCATTAGCATAACACAAACATCTGAGGGTGAAGCGTGCCCCCCCTCACCCCCAACACACACACTTCTTTCTGAAACCTTCTCTAGCCGTGAAGCAAGAAAGTAAAACCATAGTAACTTCTAGCTCCTGAGTTGCCAGGTTCCAGAAGTCCTGTGTTTCTTGCTTGCATCAGATCAGAAATGCACTGGGTAACATTCCTAACATTCTCTCTCTCTCTCTCTCTCTTTTTTTTTGGTGAGGAAGATTGGCCCTGAGGTAACATCTGTTGCCAATTTTCCTCTTTTTTGCTGAGGAAGATTGGCTCTGAGCTAACATCTGTGCCAATCTTCCTCTATTTTGTATGTGGGACGCTGCCACAGCATGGCTTGATGGGCAGTGTGTCTGTCTGCTCCCAGGATTTGAAACTGCGAACCTCAGGCTGCCAAAGCGGAGTGCTCAAACTTTACCACTATGCCACTGGGCCAGCCCCAACGTTCTTAACTTGGCTCAAGCAAGACAAAAGTCTTTGCTTACTTACGTGAACCAACTCCCTTCCTTTACAAACAGGGCTGATAAGCTTTGATTGGGGGTCAGCTAGATTTAGGAGTCCCCACAGGCCAGACGGGACCATTTGAGCATCAATAAGGACATCTGCAAAGCACTGAAGCATTCAAACCTCATTAAATCCATGCGTTCATAACGATGCAAATAAGATTTTTGGCAGCAAGTCTGAGAGAATAAAGGCACAGTCAAGGTGACGGTTGTGGAGTGTTCACTGTGATCCAAATGATATTATTTAGACGCTACATCACCATAAGCTAGTAAGCCCATAGACCACAGACCTCCAACGCCCTGATCAACGACAATTCATGCTGAATCAGCAGTCTCCCAAACAGACTACATGCTCCAAAATTTGAAGCTCAAAACCAGAATTGTCTCTATGACTAATACACTATTTCAGGCTTGGCATAATAGTAACTCTTAAAAAGGTACTTTGTATCACATTTGCAAATTGCAGTTTTCAGCTTTAATTTTATTTTGACAAAAAATATATCGAATTCTATGCCTATATTCAAAAATGAGCTGCTGGAAGGTAGTTTTTTCCAACCCATCTAGAGTCTTCCTCATCTAGGCCCACGCTGCCTGGTAACTTAGACCCCGAGATCACAGGCTGGATGTGTGATTTCCAAGGCAGGGGTCTCTGTCACCTCGCAGGCCCCTTCTCTGCCCTGAGGGCACACCCCAGAGCCCCACCCATTGTTTTCCCTCTCCTGGGCCCAACAAAGGTGCTTGTTGCACCGTTTCCTTCACATGCTCCGCAACTCCGCTCTCCTGGACATCCACAAACTGGTTTTTGGAGGAGGACATACGACAGGCGAGACTTGTTTGGTAAAGGCTGTGGCGAAACAGATGGAGCAAGGGCCGCAGGGAGGCAGGGAAAGGCAACAGGAAACGCGCACGCGCACACACGCACACGCACACGCACGCACATGCACACGGTCAGATCTGATACGCAAGGCCTCCACAGGTTCCGGTGCACCCATCCTGGCCTCTCCTCTGAGTTGATTCTGGAAACATAATGGTCTCACACATCCTCATGTGCTCTTGCTAAGGCCCCTCCACTCCTGGTGGAGGAACTCATTAGTCCCCACTCTTTCTCAAAATCACAACCTCCAACTCTCCCCTTTTCCTGGAAGGACCAAACAAGGGCTTTTATTTTTCATCTCGTTATAGATGATGCATGTTTTATAAACAAAAATTTTTACAAATTTTTATATAGGGGAATGTGGCCTAAGAAGCTTGTGAAAAATAGGGCATGATATTTAATAGACTTCAAATGTGGGGTGCATGGTTGTCGTAGATAAACCATAATAAAGCAAACATGTGTCATGCATGTACGGAGAAGGGGATCATGGACCCAACCAAAGCTCGCAGAAAGTTATTGCAGTTCCAAGGCTCTCCATGACCTGGTGAAGCCTTCAAAGTCAAACATGGGTGGGAGATTTATTTCCTGGCTGGATGAGGGAACCCCTTACCTTCATCCTCATCCAGGCTCAGCTGTGCTCAGGTCTCCCTCCTCCTTACACTCGGCCCTGAACCCATGCACCCTCATTTCGTTCACCCATGCCTGTCTTGCTCTCTTCCCCACCTCCAGCTGGGCCATTGATTACAAGAGATTGACAGAATCAGAGAGTGAACGAAGACATGGAGAAGACTGGAAAAAGAGCATTAGCACAACGCGATGAGGCATTTTCCAGGAATTGAGATGAGGGGCAGGAGAGTTAACGTCTCCACCCACAGTTGTTCTGGAATGTTCCCTGAGCATACCTTGGCTATCCAAGGAGTGACATAAGTCTGTCTTGGTACACACAGCCCTGAGGTTCCTGGGCACTTGCTTTCGAGACTTACAGGCCTCTTTTCTTCAACAAACCTTGAGGTGTACGATCATATGTAGATTGTTATCACCCTTTAAAAATAAGCAAACTGCTGCTCATTTACAAACCAGCCGAGACTTCCTGCTCCCCAGTGGAAGGGGTGTATGTTGAACTCACTCGATCCGCTGTCTCCCTATAGAAAACTGGGCATTGTTTGCAGAGATGTTTGGCAATGTGCTTTCGGAAAAACATGGAGAGATATCTTCTGAACTTCTCGCCGACGAAGGCGTAGATGATGGGGTTGATGCAGCAGTGCGTCATCCCAAGAGTCTCCGTCACCTGCATGGCTCGGTCCAGCCGACCAGTGCTCTCACAGTTACTTAGGTCAAAGAATTCCTGGAAGGTGCTCAGGATAAGGACGATGCTGTAGGGAGCCCAGAAAAGAAAATAAACAATCATGATCACGAAAATGAGCCTCACGGCCTTGTGCTTCTTCTTCTCGTTGCGGCACCGAAGTAGGGTTTTTAGGATTCCTGAGTAGCAGATGATCATGACCAGTAGTGGCAGGACCAGCCCCAAGATGCTCCTCATTATAGTATGGAAATCCTTCCATCTTGGTGGAAAATAAGGGCCACAGGAGTAACCAGAATCTTTATCAGATCCCAAGAAGTCTTCTTTTTGGGATTTGGTAAAGATGATTCCTGGGAGAGAGGCAAAAACAGCCACCACCCAAGTGACTCCACTTGTCATCACCCCAAAGGTGACCGTCCTGGCTTTTAAAGCAAACACAGCATGGACGATAGCCAGGTACCTATCGATTGTCAGGAGGATGATGAAGAAGATTCCGCCAAAATAACCAACGTGATACAGTCCTGTGAATAACTTACACATCCCATCTCCCAAGACCCACCCATTTATAACATAATGAGTCCAGAGTGGGAAAGTAAGAAGAAAAAGCAGGTCAGAGATGGCCAAGTTGAGCAGGTAGATGTCAGTCATGCTCTTCAGCTTTTTGCAGTTTATGAGGATGAGGACAACCAGCATGTTGCCCACAAAACCAGAGATGAACACCAGCGAGTAGAGCGGGGGCAGGAGGCCGGCTGCAATTTGTTTCACGTCGACCTTTTGGCAGGGTTCACTGTAATCATAGTCATAACTAGTGGTGGATTCTCCAACTTTCCCCTCGATACTCGTTGTAAGCGGAGAATGAGATGTGAACAGCATGTTGTGGCTGAGCTGGGGAAACGTGACATTGCCATCCATTTTTCTCTGTCCTGTAAACAGAGAACAAAGTGACGACACACAAGATAACTGCCACAATCCCTGATCTTACAAAACTCCTTGCTCCACTTTAGCAACGTCCCACTCTTTGATCTTTCCTTTGCAGCTGTCTCTTTGAAAGCACGTGTGCGAGTTCATCACTTCCCCTTATTCCTTGTAGCAGGAGCCAGTTGTCTCCTCACCAGCCATTTCCCAATGCCCTGGGCCTTCCCAGTGAGCCCATTCTCACTACAAGGCTAAACGTGCTGGACACTTGCTTTCTCTATGTCCTCTGCAGGTGGCGCACACACCTGTGACCCACTCTTGGACAATAATATGTAAGGTGACTCTGCTAGGGGGCTTTGGGAACGCTCTTCTCTGATAAGAGAGATGCAGGAGAAATCCCAGCCTGGTCCTTCCATTTTTGTAGCTTGTCTTATGAGGGCTTGGTGCTTGGGACCATGGATGAAAGACCCAGAGAACAGGAGCAAAACTAAGCAGAATCCCAACATCACCAGTCCCAAACCCTCCCTTGAGCTGCCCATCTTCTGACTTCTTTTTATTTGAGAAAAATAAGCCCTTGTTTTTAAGACATTATGAGCTGCATTTTCTGTTACTTGCAGCCCAAAGCATTCTAACTCATATACCTTTCTCAACTTTCTGTCTCCATCATCCTGCCCAAACTTCTCTTGCCAAGGCTGCAACGACAACCCAATTTTTAAATGCCCTGGCTTCATTTCAGTTTCATCCTCGTGGAGTATTTGACTCTTCTGCTAACTTCTCCATTTAAAACTCTTCTGGCTTCCAGGAGTTTAGCTCCTCTCTCACCATTTCTTATTACTTTTCTTTGTTGGTGTCTCCTCCCCATGCCCACACGGTAAGAGTCCCCACGCACCACCCTTGGCTCTCACTTCTTTACCTTTTACCTCTTTATTCTTGCTCCAAAGTTCTCCCTGAATCATGTCGTCTAACTCAGGGTTCTAAGTCCCCCCAGTGCTAATCCTTCCCAAATCTCTGTCTTACAGTCCCACCTTCCAACTCCTGCACCTCAGAGGTGAATTTTCCATTGCCTACTGCACAGCTCCACGGATTTATTCATTTAACCAATATTTATTGAGCACCTACTGTGAGCCATACTCTGTTTTAAGCACTGGAGATTCAGCAGTGAGCAAAGTGGGTATCATACAAGTACCACAAATTCAACCCACCCCAAACTGAACACCCCTGGAATCTTGCTTCAGCTTGTGGATTCCTTGTCTGGCTATTGTCATTTATTCCACTAGCTAAGAAGCAGGATTTGGTATTCTCCGGGGTCCCCTCCTCTTCAGAAGATTAGAAGCCAAGCCTTTGGAGCCAAACAAACCTGGATTTGAATCCTGCCTGCAACTTACAAGTTGCGTAATTTGGGGCTAATTACTTTTTCAACTATCAGTTTCCTTATGTGTAAAATGTTAACTATGCCGAGTTGCTGGGATTAACGGAGATGAGAACTTGGCACAGCACCTGGTGCAGAGAAATATTCTGTATTGTTATTATTATGTCACATGAATTCTACCCCAGAAACACCTCTCAGATTCATCCCCTCGGCTCCTCTTTCAACTGCCATGTCCTTCCCTTAGACATTTGTCACTTCTGGCTTTGTTGTGGGCTTTCATTTGCTCACACCCTGTTCCTAGCCATGCTCCCTTTCAATCTATCTGCTCTAAAATTGAAATTGAATCATGCACTTCTCAGCCTAAAATCTCCAGGTACCCCTAGATTTGTATGTGGTAGGACCTCAAAGGTAATGCCCAGACTACTCACCACGCTTTTTCTAAGCTCACTTCTCAGTTCCATCTACAATTGCTTCTCAAATCCCAAATCCTGTGTTCTAGCCATAGCCATTTTCTTTCCATTTCCCCCAAACTCACCATTTCCTTCATGCCCTCTGCCTAAAATAATTAGTGAGCTCCTATTAATCCTTCAATACCCCCTGCTCAAATTCCCCTTCTTTGTGAAGCCTAACCTGCCTCCTCTATCAAATCACTGTTACCATCTCATAACACTTTGCATGCCTCTAAATAAGCACTTATCATATTATCTTCTACATATTATGAGCTTCTTGAGGTCAAGGACAAGATTATGTTTCTATCTCCAGCTCTGGCTAAAGGAGGAACCAATAAATGTTCATTGAAAGAATGCACAAAGATCTTTGTAATAAGTATGACACCTAACATCAATAGTCTTGATTCTCAAGATTATTCACTTTTTTCTGGTAGTGACTGTGAATTTGTTTTTATCTATCTACACACCTTATTCTTCAATGTCTCTTGCGATTGATACATTTCACATATGGTACATTTCACATCACTGAGCCAGATTTTTGAAATCTGCAGCAAGTAAACAAGATTTCTGATCAAGCTTGGGTAAAAAAAAAAATGTATCCACCTAAAGAATTTCAACTCTGATCAATAACTGAGTGCTCCCTAACCTCCAGGTGCTGTGTTAAATACTTTATATACATTAATTAATTTAATCCTTACAACAGTTTTGTGAGATAAGTATTTACACATTTTACTAGTGAAAATCCAAGCATGGATGGATTAAATGACTTTCCCAAACTCACTGAACAAGTAATGGCTGAGCTGGAATTTGAACCCTGAGCTTTTCAATTTCAAAAGCCCTCAGGGGCTCCCATCTCCAGGCTCTGAGAGCAGAGATGGATGTAGAACAGGTAACAGATTTTCTAGGTATTCTTCCATGCCTTGAACAGAACTTCTTTGGGATTCAGCCTTAAAATCCACACACTCACTCATACAAGCATGCCCCTCCCATGCATGCACAAGCATGCGTGTGCGTGCGCGCACACACACACACACACAACCATTTCTGCCAGAAAATAAGCTCCATGAGGGCAGAAATCTTTATTTTGCAATGAAGTATCTCGGTGCCCCAGAACCCAACCTGGCACATAGAGGCTAGTGAATAAATATCAAATAAATAAGTGAGTAACAGAGAACTAGCTGGCTGCAAGCTGCTGAGAATCAAAATGCTCCACTGTGGACTAGACGCCCAGGAAATCCAGTGGGAGACCCTATAAAAACTAACAATGGATATTGGGGATCCTTGCACACTGCCCCTCAGCTGCAGCGAGCCCTCAGGGCTGTTCTGTAATTACCCACAGGGCTGTCTCACATCTGTAGGGGACAGCGTGGACTGGATCAGTGGTTCTCAGATGCTGTGTCACACAGGAAGTCTGTCAGTTAGAAATACACAGCCCAGACCCTGGCTCTGGTGAATCAGATTGGTGGTGAGGGTGGGGTGCGAGGGGGTGGATTGCTCCAACCACTTCCACTGTATGTTCCCTGTGCTGTGTTGTTTACCTGCACTGGCCTCTCAAATGTCAGCCACCAACTCCTTTTTATTACTCTTCCCCTGTCACTCCAGCACACCCAGCTCCTACCACAGCAGACACTTAGCAAGGTGGCTGAAATGCACTGGTCTAGGTGTCACTTTCAAATGTCAGGACATATCCAGAATCGATTAAAAGCTGCCTCTCAAAAAAATAAATTCTCCACTTCAGCCTCTGTGGACCTCTGAATTGACACAAGAGACACATTTTGGTTCAGGGCCTGGACTATCATATATATGGACTAGCGGGGCGGGGGGTGGGGGTGGAATTTGGGGTAGAAATCTCCAGCTCTTTAAAGCCGTTAGGGCCTGGGAGGGGCAGAGAGAGAAGAGGAGTAGTTGAGTGCCTGACTGTCTGTACTCTCTTGGGTCGTCCTCTTTTAGTGCACTCTCTCCTATCATCTGAGCCTGAGGGGTGGGCTCACCCTGCTCTGCTCTCCCTCACTGTCATCAGGGTCTCTCTAATATTTCTGGTGCAGACACCCCCCTCCACTCCTTTTTCCCATCTTGATCATCCCCCAAGTTCCTGGGCTATGCAGACCCCCAGGATGTTCCTAGTCCCTGCATCTCTAGTGTCAAGATGCTTTGAGCCTATAAAAAAAGCCACAAAGCAATGGAAAAAACACCCATAACTCACCGATGGATGGCTTCTTCCAAGTGGCACTGTTGTGTCAGGCTTCTCAGCAACTGAACCGAACAAATCTGGAGGTAGAAACTTGGTGTGCAGAAGTAGGAAATAAAGTTTCCTGCAGAAAGAGAAGGCGGAGATACAAAGGCAAGTAATGGTAAAGATTTGAAGAAAAAAAAAAAAAAGTGCTATAGTTCTTCTTTTCCAGCCAGGATCGTTGTACACTAGGTTAAGCTCTCCAGAGTAGCATTAATTTTGAAATCTTGCTTATGCAACCTTGAGTGTGAGTCAGACACACCCTGTACATCTGCTCCTGTGCCTACCCACTCTGGGCTTCTTTGTCTTGTGGGTCTCTATATCTGGAAATCTTCCTCTGTCTTCTGCCAGTGATAATTTGCATGAAAGGAGCACAACAGAACTTCATTTCCCAGAGGATAAATGCTAATGGGCTCTGTTGGTGATGGTGGAGGAAATATAAGGAGGTTTTATGTGATCATGTGCACTGGGTTTCAAGTGGCATTGTGGATTTGGGAACTGATTAGAAATTTTATTTAGATAGAGCTTCTTAATGAAAAGGGAATGCTAAGTGTTCTCTTGTGTCAGATGTCCTTAGCAAGAAGGGCCTCAGTTAATATAGGTACCACTCCTCAGAAAGAAACTTTGTTTAAACCACCATTGAGAGTCTGGGAAGATGGTGGAGTAAGAAGCACCAGGAATCTCTCTCCCCACTGAGACAACAACTGCAGAATCTGTTCAATCTAACTATTTGGGAAATCTGGAGTCTACTGAAGGCTTGCAACTTTCAGGGGAAGGCTTGGATGATCAATTGCAGTTAACTTCAGTCAATTTCAGCTCACAGCACAATAGCAGCTACTCATCCCCCACCCTTGGCCCCTGGGCAGGCAGCCTCCCACGTGTTCCTGGAGCAGTTGGCATACAGCTTGCAGGAGCCAGAGTGGGCAAAAATTGGACCTGTCTTCCAGATGTAAGGGATCTGTGCTCTGATCGCTGATTACTGCTTCTCATCCAGAGGTACAGACAGAGAGGCAGGCAGCCACTTTTGTTGTGTTTCCCCTCATTGTTGCAAGCCCCTCCCCCACTGGCTGAAATGACTTTCAGGGGATTTAAAGAGCCAGCACTCTTTATTTTCCTCCCCTTCATTTTCCTCTTTTGGGAGCCAGATATTCAAGAGCAACTGCATTTGCAGGGAAAATTAGAAAGTGACCACACATACTCAGGGAAAGGCACATGCTCAAAAAAGACCCTGAGCAGACCTTAAGTTCACACCTCAGGCTGATCTTTGAGGCAGAAACAGCCTACAGCAATTTGAAAAATAACAAAAAGCAGCAAAGCCTAGAGAAGGAGGAGAATCTGATTTCCAGAGTTATCACGTCATTAGATCAAATGTCTGGATTTCAACAAAAAATCACAAGATATACAAAGAAACAGGAAAGTATGGCTCATTCAACAGAAAACAATAAACCAACAGAAACTGTTCCTGTAAAAGGTCTAATGGCAGATTTACTAGACAAAGGCTTTAAAACAACTGTCTTAAAGATGCTCAAAGAACTAAAGGAAGATGTGGAGAAAGTCAAGAAAACGATATATGAACAAAACGGAAATATCAGTAAAGAGACAGAAAACCTAAAAAGAAATTCTAAAGCTGAAAAATACAATAACTGAAATGAAAAATTCACTAGAGCGATTCAAAGGCAGACTTGAGTAGGCAGAAGAATGAATCAGCAAGCTTGAAGATAGAAAAATGGGAATTATTGAGTTTGAGGAACAAAAAGAAAAGATTGAAAAAAAATGAACAGAGCTTGAGGGACCCATGGGAGTCCCAGGAGAAAAGACAGGCAAAGGGCAGATGGAATATTTGAAGAAATAACGGCTGAAAACTTCCCAAATTTGAAGAAAAACATGAATATAAACATCCAAGAAGCTGAATGAGCTCCAAATAAGATGAATTTAAAGAGACTCACACCAAGACACATTATAATCAAACTTTCAAAAGACAAAAATACAGAGAGAATCTTGAAGCAGCAAGAGATGAGTGACTCATCACATACAAGGGATCCTCAATAAGATTAGCAGCATATTTCTCATCAGAAATTTTGGTGGCCAGAAGGCAGTAGGCCAATATGTTAAATGAGCTTAAAAAAATTGTCAACCGAGAATCCTATATCTAGCAAGCCGTCCTTCAAGAGTGAGGGAGAAATTAGGACACAAGGAAGTTTCTTACCACTAGATTGACCTTCAAGAAATGCTCAAGGGAGTCCTGCAGGGTGAAATGAAAGGACACTGGACTCGAAGCTGTATGAAGAAACAAAGGGAAATACATGGCAATATAAAAGCTAGTATTATTGTAACAATGTTTTATGACTCCACTTGTTTTCTACATCATTAAAGAGAGTAACATATTTGTAAAACTTACTAGTCTAAAAGCTAGTATTATCGTACATTTGGCTTGCCTATTGTACCTTTAAATTATGTTTTCTACATAATTTAAAAGACTAATTCATTTAAAATAATTATTAGTTTATGTTTGGGGGCACACGTATAAAGATGTAATTTTGTGACAACAAAACCCAAAGTGGTGTTGATGGAGCTGTAAAAGAGCAGAACTTTTGTATGTTATTGAAGTTAAGCTGGTATAAATTTAAATTAGAATGTTATAACTTTGGGATGTTAAATGTGATCCCCATGGTAACCACAAAGAAAATAGCTATATAACATACACAAAAGGAAATGAAAAGAAATCTAACCATTTCACTACAAAAAATCAACAAAAGAAGACAGTAATGCAGGAAATGAGGGACAAAAAAGCTATAAGGCATATAGAAAACTAATGAGAAGTGACAGAATTAAGTCCCTCCTTATCAGTAATTACTTTAAATGTAAATGGATTAAACTCTCCAATCAAAAGGTAGAGAATGGTAGAATGGATTAAAAAACAAAGCAAAATATGGTTTAACTATATGCTGTCAACAAGGACTCATTTTAAATCCAAAGACACAAGTAGATTGAAAGTGAAAGAATGGAGAAAGATATTCCATGCAAACAGTAACCAAAAGAGAGCAGAGGTGGCTATAGCAATATCAGAAAAAATAGACTTTAAATTAAAAAAGTTTATAAGAGATAAGGAAGGACATTATATATTAATAAAAGATTCAATGCAGCAAGAAGATATAAACATTTACTCCTAGTGACAGATCATCAAAATATATGAAGCAAAAACTGACAGAACTGAAGGGATAAAAAGACAGTTGTACAATAATAGTTGGAGACTTCACTATCCCATTCTCGATAATGGATACAACAACCAGACAGAAGATAAATGAGGAGATAGAGGACTTGAACAACACAATAAACCAACTAGATCTAACAGACGTATACAGAGCACTCTGCCCCAAAACAACTGCATACACATTCATCTCAAATGCACATGGGATATTTTCCAGGATAGGCCATTTTGAAAATAGATAGAGAACTCCTAAAACTCAACAACAACAAAAAAACTTGATTGAAAAATGGGCAAAGGACTTGAATAGACATTACTCCAAAGAAGATATACAGATGGCCAATAAGCACATGAAAAGATGTTCAACATCACTAATCATTAGGGAAACACAAATCAAAACTACAATGAGATACCATCCTGTTAGGATGGCAAGTATCTAAAACCCAGAAAATAACAAGTGTTGGCGAGGATGTAGAGAAATCAGAAAACTTGTGCACTGTTGGTAGGAATATAAAATGGTACAGCTGCTATGGAAAACAGTATAGCAGTTCCCTAAAAAATTAAAAATAGAATTACTATATAATCAAGCAATTCCACTTCTGGTTATATACTCAAAAGAATTGAAAGCGGAGTCTTGAAGAGATATTTATACACCCATGTTCATAGCAGCATTATTCACAATAGCTTAAACATGGAAGAATCCCAAGTGTTCATCAATGGGTGAATGGATAAACAAAATGTGGTATATACATACAATGCAATATTATTCAGCCTTAAAAAGGAAAGGAATTCTGACATACGTTATAACACGGATGAAACTTGAGGACATTATGCTAAGTGAAATAAACCAGTCACAAAAAGACAATGATTCCACTCATATGAGGTACAAAGAGTAGTCAAAATCATAGAGACTGGAAATAGAATCGTGGTTGCCAGGTGCTGGGGTGAGGGGTTAATGGGGAGTTATGGGTTAATGGTTATAGAGTTTCAGTTTTAGAAAATGAAAAGAGTTCTGGAGATGGATGGTGGTAATGGTTGCACAACATTACAAATGTATTTAACGCTACTGAACCGGACACTTAAAAATGGGTACGATGGTAAATTTTATGTTATGTAAACAATATATGTTATTTTATTTTACCACAATAAAAAAAGAAAAAAAAGGCAATCATCTTTAGCAGCACAAATTCTACAATGTAGGCACTACACATAGGAATATTGCTAAAGTCTCACAGAGAACATTGGTCATCTAAGTTGGCCCTTGGCACTTTCTGGAATTCAGTAGACTTTGGGATCAGGATCCCATGCTGTGGCTTTGGCAAATTTCTAAACTTTTATTTCCCCAACTGTAGAATAGGAATTGTAAAGCCTCTGGGATCTGTGAGGTGTAAATGGATATAAAGCAGCTAGTACAGTGTCTGCTGTGTAGTAGGCACTCAACAAATGGTAGCTAACAACAGCAATAACAATAAAACACTCAGTGCAGTCCATGTGTCTTTTCTAGATTTCAGTAAGTTGTGGTTATGTATCTTGCGTAAGACCTTGTTTATGTAGTGAGCAAGAAGGGCCTCAGGTTTTTCCTTAGAAGACAGCTTCTTGCTTGATCAGGAACAGTAAAAGTTCCCCATTGTCCCCTAATGTGGTCTCTGAGCAGGGATCAGAAGGGTCTTTCTGAGATTTCAATAGAAAAGCGGGTCATACTCACCCCAGTGATGCTGGATCCACTCCCACTTACGGAATCTCCTGACTCCAGCATCTTGCTTCTAGTTCCTCTGAGTCAATCTGGGATACTGAAGGTCAAGACCCAGGAATTTTGCTCTTGCTGATTAGGATCACTCTGCATTTCTATCTTCACACTAGACATTGTTGACTCCAACCCTGTAATTTTAAAAACAGAAACGGGCACAGAGGTAGGCAGCGGTAGAGCCAGGATTTGAATCTTGGCTTACCTCTAGTGCAGGAACAGATGGCACACTTGGCTGAGATCTTGAAGAGACTGAACAAGGATGACAGTATGTACAGAGGGGTAGCCTGGGTTAGGAGAACCAACAGGGGTCGTGAGGTGCCTAGAGACTAGCAATAGTGGGAGCTGGTACCCCTGTGCCTGAAGGGT